CATCAGAAGCATCTTACAACTCTGATGGCAGCTGCTCCTCCACAGCTCAATTTCTGATATATATGAAGAGTCCACATAGCCTGCACAACAGAGTGGAAAAATGTGGGGGCAGTATAGGCTGGGGGAGTGATCATGTGTGAAGGACAAAGGGTACTTGCACTCAAATCTATGTCTGAGCAGAGAAAGGGAATCAATTATGGACACTTGTACAGGTAACATATTGGAGATAGCTTGAGCATGACATGATCCAAGAGCCCACACAGGCCACCCTTACATTAGAAATTAAAGGTAACTGAGTACAGTTAGGGCTTCTGCTCTAGCAACTTGGGAGCAGACACTGTCCAGATTAAGGAGTTGACAGCCACTGAGCAAGAGGAAGTCCTATTTCACGTACAACTCCAACTCTAGCACCACCATCTTCAGCCCAATGGCCTACTAAGGTGATAGCAGCCAGCAAATTCAGAAAAAGACATGCATTTATCCATGGCAAATCCAGCTCTCCCATGAAAGACAATGGGCAGAAGCATTCTCTATAGGAAAGCTCCCATATAAGCACACCTTTATGACATCATAATTAACTTTCACATAAATTCATAGAGGTAGAGAATATTAAGTAAAACAAAAAGACAGAGGAACTGTTGTCCATTGAAAGAATGAGAGAAAATCCCTAAAAAATAAGTTCTGAAAGAGAAATAAACAATTTACTAGATAAAGATTCCAAAGCATTGGGAATAAAAATCTTAACTAAATTAGGCCAAAGAACAGATGAGCACAGCAAAAATTTTAGTAAGGAACAAGAAAATATAAACAAACACCAATTAAAAATGAATAATTCAATGACTTCAGTTAAAAAAAAGAAACATAGTAAATAATAAACATCAGATTAAGTGATACAGAGAAATGAAAAAGTGACTTGAAAGACACAATAATGGAAATAATGCAATCAGAACAGCACAAAGAAATATAAATTAGAAAGAAAAACAGTGTAAAAGATATCTGAGATGACACTAAGCTTACTAACATTTATATTATAGGGGTGTAAGAAAGAAAAAAAAGACAAAACGGAATTAAAAATGTATTTGAGGAAATTATGGCTTAAACTTCCCAGATACACAAGTACAGGAAGCACAGAGGTTTCCAAACAAGAAGAACCTAAAAGGACACACAGCAAGGCATGCTATAACTAAAATGACAAATATTAAAGGTAATAAGAGAATTTTAAAGGCAATAAGATAAAAATAATGAGTCAAATATAACAAAATCCCTATAAGACTACTAACTGATTTCTCTATAAAATTTTGAAGGTCATAAAGGCATGATTTATTCAAAGAGCTAAAAGGGGAAAACCTGGAACCTAGGATACTCTATCCAGTAAGATTATCATTTAGAATAGAAAGAAAGATGACGAACTTCTCAGACAAATAAAAACTAAATAAGCTTATAAATACTAAATCTACCTTAACAGAAATGATAGAGTATTTTCTAAATGGAAAATAGGAATCTATATGATAGTGAAAATCCAACTAAGAAAGGACTGATAGTCAACCACTTAAATAAGCCATTACTAAGATTAAAAGACAAAATTTTGTTAAAGTCACTATAGTTACAATAAACAAAGCTAAGGGATAAATATTAGTATGTAAAATATGACAATGAAAACACAAAATGTGGAGGAAAGGAATGAAAATTGTGTATCTTTCAAAATGTGATTCAATTTAAATGACAAGTTTAAAACAAGCAGCTATAGTAAGAGGTCAACATATACAGACCACATGGCAACCACAAACAAAAAACCTACCATAGATACACACAAACTAAAACAAAAGGAATACAAGGATACTACAACGCTAAATAAAGTCATCAAACCAAAAAGAAGAAATGTACGGAGAACTACAAAAACAACCAGAAAACAAGTAATAAAATGGCAGAAAGTACATATCTATCAACAGTTCCTTTACATGTGCATAGACTAAATGCTGTTATTAAAGACATAGCATGGTTGATTGGAAAAAGAAAAACAAAATTTATCTATATGCTGCCAATAAGAGACTCACATCAAAGCTGAAGTACACACAAACAGATTGTTAATGAGGTGACAGAAAAATACATTTCATGTAAAAGGAAATGACAAGAAAGCAAAAGTAGCAATACTAATATCAGACTGTGTGTGTGTATGCTAGTTGCTCAGTCTTTTCTGACTCTCTCTGAACCCATGGACTGTAGCCTGCCAGGCTCCACTGTCCATGGAATTCTCCAAGCAAGAATAGGTAGGTAGCCATTACCTTCTCCAGGGGATCTTCCCAACCCAGGGATTGAACCCTGGTCTCCTGTGTTACAGGCAGATTCTCTATCATGTGAGCTACCAGGGAAGTCCCACTAATATCAGGCTAAAAAGACCTTAATCAAAAGCTATAACAAAAGACAAAAAAGGACAATATATAATGCTAAAAGGATCAATACAAGAAGAGGATATAACACACATTAACATATATTCACCTAATATAGTAACACCAAAATAAATAAATTCAATACTAACAGATGTAGAGGGAGAAAATGATAATAATACAATAATAGTACTTTGGGCTTCCCAGCTGGCTCTAGTGGTAAAGAACCCACCTGCCAATGCCAGGGACTTAAGAGATGTGGGTCCAATCCCTGAATCAGGAAGATCCCCTCGAGGAGGGCATGGAAACCCACTCCAGTATTTTTCCCTGGAGAATCCCATGGAGAGAGGGGTCTGGTAGGCTACAGTCCAAAGGGTCACAAAGAGTCAGACACGACTGAAGTGACTTAGCACACACACGCATGAAGTAAATGACATTAACACCCCACTGATGGAGAAGGGAATGGCAACCCACACCAGTATTCTTGCCTGGAAAAGTCCATGGACAAAGGAGACTGGCAGGCTGCAGTCCATGGGGTTACATGATTGAGCATGTGTGCACGAGGGTGGACGGAGATGGGTTGGTAGCAATAAACTGGTAGAACTAAAAAAAAAAAAAAAAAAAACACCCCACTGAAATCAATGGAAAAATCATCCAGATAAACTCAATAAGGCAACAGGGCCTTTAAGAACACAATAGAGCATTTGGATTTAATAGGTACCTACTAGATACTCCATTCAAAAACAGCAGAATGAACATTATTTATAAGTGCACATGGTATGTTCTCCAGGATAGATTACATGCTAGTTCACAAAACAAATCTCAACACACTTAACAGGATAGCATTTTAATGTCAATCATTTTTTTATGATCAAGACAGTATGAAACTAGAAATCAACTACAGAAAGAAAAATGGGAAAATCCCAAAAATATAGAAAGTAAAAAAAAACTACTAATAAAACAATGGATAAATGAGGAAACCAAAGAGGAAGTCAGAAATTACCTTGTAAACTTAAAATGGAAACACAACTCTTCAAAATATGTGGGATTCAATGAAAGTGTTTCTAAGAGGGACATTTATAGTAGTACAGGCCTTCCTCAGAAAACCAGAAAGCTCTTAAATAAACAACATAAACCACACCCTAAAGGAATTAGAAAAAGAATAACAATCTGAAGTCAGCAGAAGGAAAGAAATAAAGATCAGAGGAGACATAAATAAAAACACATACACAAAAAATAGTAATATGCATTGAAATCAAAAGCTGTTTATTGAAAAGATAAAGAAAACTGACAAACTTTTAGCGAGTCTCACCAGGAAGAAAACAGAGAGGACCATATAAGCAGTATAAAAGAAAACAAAGAGGAGAAATACTTGCCAATAAAACAGAGACACACACAAAAAATATCAAAAGAGATACTACAGTTGTATGCTAAAATTTGGACAATCTCAAAGACATGGGCAAATTTCTAGAAACATACACCCTATCAAGAATGAAGTAAGAGAAACAGGTAATTTGAACAGATCAATCACTAGATGTGAAATGGGAACACATGTAAATTCATGGCTGATTCATATCAATGTATGACAAAAACAACTACAATATTGTAATTAGCCTCCAACTAATATAAATAAATGGAAAATAAATAAATAAATAAATAAAAGATGCTTGCTCCTTGGGAAGGAATGTGTTTGAATGACGTAAAATATGTGTGTGTTAGAGAGAAAGAGATCAGGAGAGAGAATTCAAGCATTCAGCAAGGGGCAAGATTTACTTCCAAGTCAAAGCAGTGTATTAGCAGAATCTTCACTGTCAAGAACATTTATTTGACATGGTGCTCAGGAGATTTTTACATCTCTTATTTCATTATAATCTTACAGAATATTTGAGCTTTAATAAGTAAACTTTGTGTAAGGATTCAAGCCGAATATATCTAGATTCTGAAGTACCAAAATACTCTAAAAGCAGCTGTTAGAAGATGGTGGAGGAAAAAGATGGAAAAATCACCTTCTTCCCCACAAATACATAAAAAATCCATCTGCATATGGAAAAACTCCTAAAAAACAATTTCTGAATATTAGCAGAAGACACCAAACTTTTGAAAAGGCAAGACAATCTCCTTAGAATGAGGTAAGGTAAAAGATAAAGATTATAAAAGAGAGAGAGAGAGAGAGAGGATTTCAGGACTACATTTTTTCCCCCAGGAAGGGAGTTGTGAAGGAGGAAATGTTTCTTCTCACTCAGAAACCCTCCCCACAGGTGGGGCCTGAAGGAGCTTCTAAACTTCAGTGGGAAGTACAATGGTGAAACCCCAGAAGGAAAAATGGAAAATTCACCACAGAAACTGCTGTCAAACAGCACTTTCCAACTGAAAAGCAACTTGCATGTCTCTGCCTGCAGCAGAGGGTGGGGGCGGGGTCCTGAGGTTCAGGTGTGACTATCAGAGCCCAGAAAGAGGACTGACTGGGGTTGCTGCTGTGAGCATACTCTGAAGGAGCTACTTCAACAGAGTAGTGGGAGTCCAGAGCAGTGAACAGGCATCCCAGAGTGGCAAGAAGTCATTGTCCGCAGACAGGAACTCCACACTCGCAGACAGTGGCTGAATGCCTGCTGGTAGCCACCAAAACCAGCAAAACCTGTCAGAGTGCCAGCCGTAGAATTAGACATAACTGTAACTGCTAAAGCCAGGAAAGTGCCTGAGGCAATGGACAAAATGCTACTGGTGCAGTCCCAGCCCCAGAGATGGCCACTACCACCAGTCTGTGACAGGCACAGGTTACTGTCCACACCTTGCTGAAAGCTTAAGAACCTTGGCTCTTCCTAGGGACCCATGACCAAGTGCCAGTTTCTCTTGGAAAGTGCAGCAGGTCTCTATCATTGCAGGCTCTCACCAGTACATCCCACTTGTAACTGCGAAACATCCATTTTCCCCGGCCAGAGTGAGAAAGTGAGCCCTAATAGGCCTTGGTCTTCACTCCCTCATGTCTGGGTGTGGAATATATTGTGGACTTTAGGGGCAACTGTGCACTTTAGGAGCAAGAATAAGCAGGGTTAAGGCTTCCCTAGTGGCTCAGATGGTAAAGAATTAAACTGCAATGCAGGAGACCCAGGTTCAATCCCTGGGTTGGAAGATCCCCTGGAGAAGTGCCTGGCTACCCACTCTAGTTTTCTTGCCTAGAGAATCCCATGGACAGAGGAGACTTACAGGCTATAGTCCATGGAATTGCAGAGAGTCAGACACACGGCTGTGCAACTTTCGCTTTCTTTTCACTTTTCACAAGCTGGAATAAGGCTATATCTGAGGTTGCACTGACTCCACACTGCCCACAACAGGTCCAGAGACCTTCCTAGAAATAATTCAGGACTGCTATGAGTCGCTCTGGGTTCTCTAGTCTGTTGAGTGTTGCCTTCACTAAGAGTCTTGGGGTTTTATCTTCTGTACTGTGTGGCTTGTGAGGTCTTGGTGCTACGTAAAAGGTTGAGCTTGAACCCCTGAGGCAGGAGACCCTGGTCCAGCACTTTGAACCACAAGAGAACTCCTGACCCCAGGAAACATTAATAGATGAGAAGTCTCCCAAAGACCTCCATCTCAACACTAAGACCAAGCGCCACTCAAAGGCCAGTAAGCTCCAGTGCCAGACATCCATTCTAATCCTTCAGCAAAACAAGAGCTCAACCCAGTACATTAGCAGATAGGCTGCCCAAAGCCATACCAAGCCCATAGACACCCTGTAAAACACCCCAAAACACACTACTGTACATAGCACAGCCATTTAGATAGACGAGATCCAGCTCCAGTCACCAGAACACCAGCACAAGTTCCCCTGAACCAGAAAGCCTTAACAAGGCACTGGTCTAGCCCCACCCAAGGAAGGCAGACTCCACATTTAAGAGGAAGATACCCCCAAACACAGTAAACAAAATGAAAAGACAGAGACACATGCGACAGATGAAAGAATATGGTAAAAACTCATAAGACCAAAATAATGAAAAGGAAATATACAGTCTACCTGAAAAATAATTCAGAGTAATGATAGAAAATATAATCCAAAATTGAGAAAATAAAATTGAGGCATGGATAAATACATGAGGAGCATGGATCAAGAAGATGAAATAAGTGTTTAACAAGGCCCTAGAAGAATTAAAGAATAAGCAAGCAACAATGAACAACACAATAGCTGAAATTAGAAATATGTTACAAGGAAACAACAGTAGAGTAACCAAGGCAGAAGAATGGGTAAGTGAACTATAAGATAAAATGCTGGAAATGACTGAAGCAGAACTCAATACAGAAAAAAAAAAATTAAGAAAAAATGTAATGAGGACAGTCTCAGAGACCTCTGGGACAGCATTAAACAAAACTACATTAAAATCATAGGAATTTCAGAACACAATGGGAAAGGGCATGAAAAAATATTTGTGATTATAGTCAAAAATTTCTCTAAAATGGGAAAGAAAATACCTACCAAAGTCTAGAAAGCCCATAACAAACTGAGTAAAGCCCAAGATAAACCCATGGAGAAACATGCTAAGACAGCTATTAATCAAACTAACAAAAATTCAACACAAAGAACAAATATTAAAAGCAACAAGAGAAAAGCAACAATAACAACAAAAACAAACAAAGAGATCCCCATAAGGCTATCAAATGATATTTCAACAGAAACTTTGCAAACCAGAAGGGAATGGCAGGATATACTTAAATTGATGAAAAGCAAAACGTAAAACCAAGATTATTCTATCCAGTAAGGATTTCATTCAGATTTGAAGGAGAAATCAAAAGCTTTACAGATAAGTAAAAGTTAAGAATATTCAACACCACCAAACTATCTTTATAGCAAATGCTAAAGGGACTTTTCTAGACAGGAAATATACAAAAAAGCATGCAAAATAAACCCAAAAGAATAAAGCAAATAGTAACAGAATCATATATATCAATAATTACCTTAAATGTAAATGAACTACATGTTCCAACCAAAAGAAACAGATTGACTGAATGGATACAATTCAAGACCCTTATATATGCTGTCTATAGAGATCTACCTCAGACCTTCCTCAGGGACACATACAGACTGAAAGTAAGGAGCTGGAAAAAGAAACCATGCAAATGACAATCAAAACAAAGTGATAGTAGCAATACTCATATCAGATAAAATAAACTAAAATAAAGAATGTTGCAAGAGACAAAGAAGGGCACTATATAATGATCAAGGGATCAATCCATGAAGAAGATATAACTGTTGCAAATATATATGGACCCAACATAGTATCACCTCAATACATAAGGCATATGCTAACAACTATGAAAATGTAAATCAACAGTAACTCAAAAATAGTGGGGTGGGGGAGTTTCAGTACCTCACTCACACCAATGGAAAGATAATCCAGTGAGAAAATTAATAAGGAATCACAAGATTTAAATGATCTATTAGACTAGTTGCACCAAATTGATATCTACAGGGCATCTGAAAACAACAGAGTTCACTTTTTTCTCAGGTGTACATGGAATGTTCTCAAAAAGATCACATGCTTGGCCACAAATCAAGTCTTAGTGAATTTTTTAAAAAATAGAAATAATTTTAAGCATCTTTTCTGATTATAACACTATAAGATTAGCTCTCAACTACAAGAAAAAAGATACAAAAACACAAACACATGGATGCCAAGCAATACACTTCTGAATAACCAACAAATCACTGTAGAAATAAAAAAGGAGATCAAAATATGCCAAGGGAAAAAAATAAAAACTACAATGAAAATATTGACAACTCAAAACCTATGGGATGCAATAAAAGCAGTGAGACTAGGGAAGTTTATAGTAATACAAATCTACATCAAGAAACATCAAATAAACAGTCTAATCTTACATCTAAAGGAACTAGAAAAAGAAGAGAAAATAAAATTCTTCAAAAAAAATGGGCATAGAAGAAACCTACCTCAACATAGTAAAGGCCATATATGCTAAACTTACAGCAAACATTATTCTCAACGGAAAAAAAATTGAAAATTGAAAAGCATTCCCCCTAAGATCAGAATCAAGAAAAGGGTGTCCATATCATTGGAGGAGCCAAGATGGCAGAGGAATAGGACGGCAAGACCACTTTCTCCCCTACAAATTTATCAAAAGAACAATTCAAAGCAGAGCAAACTTCACAAAACAACTTCTGATCACTATCTGAGGACATCAGGCCCCCAGAAAAGCAGCCCATTGTCTTCGAAAGGAGGTACGACAAAATATAAAATATAAAAAGAGAGACAAAAGAGCTAGGGACAGAGACCCATCCCGGGAAGGGAGTCTTAATAGAGTAAGTTTCCAAACACCAGGAAACTCTCGCACTGGCTGGCTGGTCTGGGGGAAGTTTTTGAATCTCCGAGCGCAACCTAACTGGGAGGAAAATAAATAAATAAATAAATGAACCCCACAGATTACGTGCCTAAAAGCAACTCCCAGCAGAAAAGTACCCCAGATGCCCAAATCCACCACCAGCAACTGGGGGTGGAACAGAGAGGAGTGGGCGGCATTGTTTAAGGTAAGGACTGGGCCTGAATGCCCTGAGGGCAATGGGAGGGAGCTTTTGTGAGATACCAGCTTAAACTGTGGGACAGCAAAAGAGAGAAAGAAAATTAACCGGCCCGAACACACTGCCGGCTGTTCGCAGAACAAAGGGTCTGAGCAAGTCCAGAGGAGCTAGCCGGCTGTGGACTGGCTCAGCCCCACCAGAGGCAGGTGGGAGGGGAAAGGGGCAAACTCAGCCCCAAAGATGGCATCCCCTACCACACTGCAAACAGGTCTCCAGTTTCTAACCAAACACTTCCTGAGATTCTGGATGGTCAAAATCCGCTGGGAGGGTCGCGGCTAAACACAGGGCGCACGCACCCGACCGGCGCGGGCAGAAACTAAGGCTGGGGCCGCGGAGGGGAAAAGGCGCACCGCACCCGGGGAGAGTGCGCCCATCAAGCTCCTGGCTGCCTGAGCTGCTCGGGCCGTGGAAGGCACAAAACGCAGGCGCAACCAAGTCTGCGCTTTTGTGGAGTACCCAAAAACTGGAACCGCACACAACGCAGGGCCCACTCCATATAGAGAAGCCAGAGGCCTGAGCAGCTTAGATGGGGAAAACAGAGCCCCCCACCCCCCCCGTCAGGCAGAAATTAGGCACTGAAGAGACCGGCTAACAGAAGCCAAATAAACAAAGTGAATCGCTTCAGAAGGGACCGGTGCAACAGATTAAAATCCCTGTAGATAATACCGACTACACTGGAAGGGGACTATAGATATTGAAAAGTGTAAGCTGGAATGAGGAGCTATCTGAAACTGAACCAAACCCACACTGACCGCAACAGCTCAAGAGAAATTCCTAGATATATTTTTTTTCTTTCCTTTTCTTTTTTCTTTTTTCTCTTTGATTTTCTTTTAAAATTCCCTATTACTCCCCCATTACTCCTTAACTTTCATTTTCATATATTTTGACGATTTTTTTTAATAAGGAAAAACATTTTTTTTCTTGTTTTTTTTCTTGTTTTTTTTTTTTTTTTATTTTCTTTTAAAGTCCTCTATTACTCCTCTACTACTCCTTAAGTTTCATTTTCATTTCACTATAACCTTGCAAAAAAATAAAAAAAAAGAGAGAAGCCCTAGTTTTAAACTGAACTTGATATATAATTCAAAAATTTTTTTGTGTTTTTGTTTTTGTTTTAAACATTGTATTTTTAAGAGTCTAACCTCTACTCTAGATTTTTAATCTTTGTTTTTCAGTATGTGATATAAATTTTGGACATGTAAGAAGCAAATATTAAGAT